TTTGTCTTTTTTCAGCCAGACTAGCTATGCAATTATGTAGCTATGTAAGTACCGATGGCTCCTGTGTCCATTGATAGCTGAACATAGTAAGCTGTGTTTACTATGCTTCAGTTTATGAATGAACAGGAGCCTCTGTCTCCTGTTCATTCATTTGCAGTGCAGCGGAGGATGCAGAGAAAGGAATTGAAAAATCTGTGTCCTCAATTACTCAATGCCCCCCAACAGTGTTGTAAAAGACAATGGGAAAAAAAATAATAACAAAATGTAATAAATGATTTTTAAAAATTGTAAAAAGAAATAATTTAAAAAATTGTAAAAAATGAATTGCTCATTCACACGGGTTCTCTGGCCCATACAATGTGAATGAGCGGTTTGCTGGAGCTGCCTGTTTCTCTATGAGGATGCAGCAGCTGTATGAACACAGTCTCGGGTACTAATTTGATAAGTGTGCAGTGAGTGACCTCAAAATGCACACTGTCTGTGTTCAGGGGTCATGCACAAGTATCCATACACCTGTCAAATGAGGACCTGCCGCTGTGTTTGTTCAGCTGCTGCATTCCCATAGCATAACAAAGGCTACCTGAACACAGCAGTAGGCACATGCCAATCACAATGCATGATGGTGCCACAAGGGGGCAACCCGCCCCCTTGTGATGTCATCACAGTATTTAAGAACTGTCATCGCGGAACAGCTGTCAGATGACAGGGTGGAGAGGTTCTTTTTGTCTGATTGACATCGGATCTACTTTGGGGGACATTTTTAAATTTTTTTTTTTTTTTTATAGGACTTGTCAAAGACTATCTTCTGTCATTTTTACACACTTTTTTTTTGTTTGAATGGGTAGCAGTACCACCGGCCAGGGTTGTGGGGAAGAGGTTCTTGTCCCCATCAACCAGGCCACATGCCCCATGTTGAGGACATGTGGCCTGGTATGGTGGAGGGGGGGGCTCTCGCTCATGCTCCCCCCTCCTTTCTTGACCTGCTGGGCTGCATGCTCAGATAAGGGTCTGCTATAGATTTTGCAGGGGACCCCCCCCTGCCGCTTTTTAAAAGAAATGTTTAATTAACGGGCAATTTCTGCAATTTTTTTGACATTCAGCTGTCAGTGGGGAACCCCACTGACAGCTGAAACATGAAGGAATGTTTCACTACTAAAATACCACATGACTTAATATAATAATATAACTCATGTGGTATTTTATAGCTGAGTGGTATCTTACCGCATACTCAGATGCATACTCAGATGCGGTAAGATACTGCTCAGTAAATTGTCCCTGTTTGAAGTTCGTGGTCGAACTTTCGGTAGGTTCGAATGTTCAACTGTGAACCGAACAGGGTGGGTGTTCGGCCCACCACTAGTACTAGAACTGTGGCCTCCTTAGATATTGAAAAGGCCTTAGATACGGTAGAGTGGCCCTATTTGTGGGAGGTCTTAAGGAGAATGGGTTTCCATCTACATTTCCTACAATGCTTGCGGTTGTTGTACACTAATCCCATTGCATCCATGTGTTTTGGAAACCAACTCTCTGCTACTTTTCATCTACAGCGGGTCACTTGGCAGGCTGCCCAACCGTCTTTTCCCTAGCCATGTAACCCATTGCTGAGGCTCATAGAGTTTCCCCAGATATCAAGGGACTCGGAGCGAGTTGGTTGGAGCAGAGGGTCACCCTGTATGCCGACGACCTACTGTTGTTCTTGAATGAAGCTGGTGATTTCCTACAGGTTCCAACAAATTTTGCTAGGATATCTGGACACCAAGTGAATTGGCATCAATCCCTCCTTTTCCCAGTAGATTCTCTGCCATTGCACAAGCTCCATCTAACCTGCAACTTCAATGGTTTGATAAATTTGGGTACTTAATAATTGTCTCAAAGAATTTCTGAATATTTGTCCTTGAATTTAAGGACAGTTTTACAAGACCTTAAGCTTAAACTGAAGGCATGGCGCAACCTGGCACTATCTCTCCTGGGGCGCATAAACCTAATTAAAATTAAGGTCCTTACCTCAATTCACTTAGCTATTTTGCAACTTCCCTCAATGGATTCCCAAATCCTTTTTTGCGTAACTCACCACTTTGCTGTCCTCCTTTCTGTGGGGACCCCAATCTCCATGCTACAAAATTACCACCCTGACTAGACCCCTTCTCCAAGGGGGAAGTAAGCATGCCAGACTTCTACAAGTATTTCTTTTTAGCTACACAGCTGATTATGACTTGTTGGTGGCTATGCCCAATACTAATAACTCTTCCACCATATTGGCGGCTATCCTTTGCTCATTAGAAGCTCTCCAACTTCTCCTGTTCCGCAGGAAAGAAGCCCCATACCCCCTTGACATCTTCTATGCTCACCACACTTAAAGCCTGAACTTTGAGGCTTAGACTGGAAACTCCCAGACTTTTCTCTCCCCAAAAACTCCCATATGGAATATCCATCACTGCAGCATTTTTACTCCATACGTGACCTGCGAGTCTGGGCACAACATAAAATCAAATCCATTGCTGAATTTGTAGATGGAGGCCGCCTCCTCTCTTTTGGAAATTTCAGTGCAAAATACATTCTCCCTTCTCTTTATCAGTTTAGATACCTGCAGGATGCACATGCCTTTAGGTTCCAATTTCCACAAGATCACATTACACTTCTCCAAACTGCTCTGGAATCTTTACTTCTAAAAGATCATCTTCTGAAGCCGACTTCTGAACTGCATGAGCTTCTTTTGACTTTTACCACTCCCGAGTTTTCTAACCTCAGGCAAAAATGGCAGACGGGTATCCCAGACATGGATCAAGAAGATTGGGACGATATGTGAAGATAAGCCATTCAAACAGTTATTGTCCATTAGGGATCGCTTAATCCAATTCAAAATCGCCCATCGTGTTTATTTCACTCTGCACAAATTCCATAAGTTCAGCCCGACAAACTCTAAAACCCTAGCAACAAATGATGCAACAGATGATAATGTTCTCTATTGGCTAATAAAAAAACCGCCTAAGCTCAAAGACGCTTAAAAACGCTGTATGAAAAAGCACAACATCACACAAAAAATTGCACGCAAAAATGCCCGAAAATCACTCAAATTCGCTACGCTCAAGTATGAATGCAGCCATAATTGGAATATATTGTATATGAACTAAAAATCCCTGTTTTTGTTCAAAGTTTGCTAAAAAGTGTGCATGGGCAGCACACTGGCTAAATGGTTTGCACTTCAGCCTAGCAGTACTTGGGTCGTTGGTTGGAATCCCAGCTACGGCACCTCCAGCCTGGAGTTTGCATGTTCTCCCTGTGCCTGCGTGGGTTTCCTCCGGGTATTCCGGTTTCCTCCACACTCCAAAGACATGCTGGTAGGTTAATTGGCTTCTGTCTAAATTGTCCCTAGTATGTGTATGTATGAATGTAAGTTAGGGACCTTAGACTGTACACCCCTTGAAGGTTAGGGACTGATGTGAATGTACAATATATACAGTATGTAAAGTGCTGTGTACATTGATGGAGCTATATAAGTACCTGGAACAAATAAATAAATAGCAGTGTGCAGAGGGTTTTTCAAAATGTTTAGTGTTAACATATGGTCACACCCCTTTAGTACCTGCTGGGTTTATTTTTTATTTATATATATATATATATATATATATATGTATGTATGTATATATATATATATATATATATATATATATAATCTATAGGGATTTGAGCACAGGTATATTTTATTTCTATTGCATGGTTCAAGTCAGTGACCAGCTGGACCTGTAGCTGTCCTACAACATATGCGCCCTGGTTGTCATCCTGGTCACTGGTGCTAGCGTCCCTATTCTCAGATTTCCCCTTATTATTTTTCTGGGGACAACCCAAAATTTGGATTTTCTTTTATTTTCTTGCTTTGCAGGATGAGAAACTTGGAGGTTTTTTAGTAAAAGCAGCACACTTTACACACATTACACATAGCCACACATTTAACCTCTTGATCTCCCTAGATGTTTACTCCTTACCAGCCAGAATCATTAGTACAGTGACAATGTACAGTATAATCACTGATCACTTTATTAATGTCACTGGTGTGTCAGTCAGTTCCCCCCAGTGTCAGTGTTGGATTGTCTGCCGCACTATCACAGTCCAGTGTTAGGTCGCTGATCACCACCATTAGTAGTAAAAAATAATAAATGACAGCTGCAGTATCTATACCATAGTTTGTAGATGCTATAACTTTCAAGTAGACCAATCAATATACACTTATTGGGATTTTTGTTATCAAAGACATGTAACAAAATACAGTTTGGCCTAAATATATGAAGAAATTTGATTTTTTATTTTTTTTTATTGGATACGTTTTCAGTATTTCTCCATTTATATTGCAAAAAAAAACCCCAATGGTAATCAAATACCACCAAAAGAAAGCTCTATTTGTGTGAAAAAAAAGTATATTCATTTTGTTTGGGTACAGTGTGTTGCATGACTGCGCAATTACCAGTTAAAGTAGCGCAATTGGTAGAGCAAAAAATGGCCTGGTCATGAAGGAGGTAAAATCTTCCGTCGCTCATGTGGTTAAAGAACAATATCATCGTAGAAGTGTTTGCGTTCGATCTCTGATCGATATTCCAGTTCCAGGTGAGATTCTTATCAATCCTGCCACAGAATACTCATAAACCACACCCATTATGGCCACACCCACTTTTCTTCAGCCACACCTAATTTTTGCTGCTGCGCACTACAGGTGCCACATTCTACCCCTTTATAAAATTGTACATTATTGTCAAGTTCAAAGGTTAGGGTGAGTTCATATTTGATTGGTTGCAATGTATTTGTATGTATGATATCATGCTAAAGGCACCCAAGGGGCGGGGCAGGACCAGGCCTTGCTGTCTAGGGGGCGGAACCGAGGAGATTCCACTAGGCATACCAGCCTTCTAGTAACACGCACATGCGCACTGTCGGTCTGAAACAGCGAAATCCCGCTTCCGGGCTTAGTCGCTGGGTGGGCGTTCCCGGATCTAAGACATCACGCGGTTCTCGGGTCAGCTGACTGGTCACGCGGTTCTCGTGGCATCAGGCGGTGCCCACCCCCGGTGTCACGTGACGGCGGCGGGTGGAGCTGCTCGGTTGATGCGGAGTGGTCGGTCCGGTGTGTGAACATGGTGAGTGTGGGGACACATGTGGAGGAGGCGGCAGGGAAAGGCTTGACGGCTGCTGAAGAGGCCTGTACATGGGGCGGGAGGCGTCAGGGCCTAGCAGTGCGGGATTCCCAGCCAGAGCTGTCAGTACTGCGCTCCTATCTACTCTGACAACTCCACAGCAACTTCTGCAAGGAGCGCCGTGCGGTGCAGAGCTCGGCCTGTGAGCCCGAGGCCTTCCAGGGTCATGGAGAGGGCGGCCTTTGCAGGCTGTGGAAGTTCCTGTCTGTCCAGTGTGTGGAGAATGGTATGAGGCAGGCGGCTCCTATGGGACAGAACATCATTGACTCTTCACGGCTCACTCAGGCGAGGAGCCAACTTTGCTGCAGGGATTCATTGGCTGACAGCAGGCCCAGCTCCAGAATAACAATCTTTATTTGTAAACAAAGTCTTCCTCAGATCAGTCCAATCAGATGATCCCCTTGGTGACCATGTAATGCGTATGTGCTCCAATCTGTGACCCGATGGCACCTGAACTGTCACAGGCAGCACCTGCTCTCTGTTTCTGATTGGGTTCCTAATCATGTGATCACTTTGACAGCCAATCGCAGTGATCCTTTGATCAGGCAGCGCTTCCCTCCTCCTGGCATTAAAGTGGAACTAGACCCGTCTATGGTTCTCAGCCAAGGAAGCTGCCATCTTAGCTTCTGTTTGATCTGTAACTGTCATGGTGCTGACATGGGATCAGAGATGACACCAGACATTTGATGGCTGAGAACACAAGCAAATGTGACCGTTACTTTCCTGGCATGCTGAGAATGAATGTTTTTGAAACTGTTAAATCGATGGGTTGAGTTCTGTTTTGAGATTCACCTAAAGTGTATGTAAACCCTAACAATAACTTTCTCTGAAAGGGCCGGTTTACACCATGCCTGCATCTGAATTGCACAGAAATGCGCTGTGCCATTCAAACCGCGTCTAAAACGCACTACATTTGTGATCTGCAGTGGGTGTCAATAAAAAGTTGATACCCACTGCAACCTAATCGCAGGTTGCAAACTCAGTTCGTTTGCCTACACTGGATCACATGGTATATTTGTACCATGCAATACGGTTACAGTGCGCTTTAAAAAGTAGCGCATGCACTACTTTTGGTGTGGTGCGATTTCAACCCATGTAAAATGAATGGGCTGAAATCGGAATGCACAGTGCTTTCTGGCACAATCAGATACTGGCTTGGTGTGACCCGGCTCTTAAAGTGGAACTAAAATGTAAATATTCACCCGTTCAACGGTCCCTCACCGTTATCTTCTGAGTGCCGATCTTTGGACCTCTTCATTGGTTGGCAGGGGGATGACATCACTCCTGTGCATGCGCAAGAGCTAATTATCCCAGCACTCTGGTACCGGCCTCGCGCTGTAATCTTAGACAAAAAAGTAACACTAAGGGCCCACCACATCTAAGGTACCATACTTTCAGTTTTTTAAATTTCCTCCTTGCTTTAAGGGTCTGTTCATACCAAAACATGGTGCTGGAAAGATGCGTTTCCTGCACCACATGGAAACACGCTGCCCTTGTTAGATGCTCGCTGGTGCCATTAATTGGTAATGGCACCCCAAACACCTCTAACAAATGCAGTGTTTGTACCAAACTTCAGGGTATTGCAGTATCATAGAGTGGTGTCATAATTTTTAAATTGCGTCTGCTGTACTTTTTGTGCATTTGGCAGCCCAATGAAATAAAAAGCTGTCAAAAATGGTATGCACAAAAAATGTGTGCACGCTCTGTGTAGTAAATAAAGAAAAAATCCTCTTGTGTTGCCAAACCTAGTATGATAAACTAAGAGTGGCTGCAAACACCAAACTGCGTTCCCACAACACTAAGAATTAAATGAATAGATAAATAGTGCTGCACTACTCACTAAACCTAACCAAAAGCAAAAAGTAAATGCCTGACAGAGCCCCTAACTAAGGTGTTATAAGTGCATACCTAGGGAATAACAAAACACAAGTGAATGAAAATATCCAAACAGACTAGATGGCCTGCTAGGCAATACCAAGTATGAACAAATCAATAAGTGAAATTTCAACATATGTGCAAATAAACAATGTGAGTGATATATATCAAGGCATAGATAATAATGAGATGTATAAACGAAGCACACAAAATAAAACAAAAATGTTGAATAATAAACACCCGGCTAAGCCCTCAACCCAGTGACAGTCTGTGAATAAATGTAGTAAAGATCAAGATCTGTAATGCAGAAAAATCTTCAAATCAGCATATATTCCACACGTGACTTGAACAGTGATCACCCTTAAAACCCTCCACCAGCTAGCGTGCACGCTCGCCTCCCATTTTGACCAATAGGGAATATAGGTCAAATGCGCTTTAACCACTTGACCTCCAGAGGATTTACCCCCCTTAATGACCAGGCCTCTTTTTGCTACTCGGCGCTGCACTAATTCAACTGATAGTTGCGCGGTCATGCGATGCTGCACCCAAACAAAATTTACGGCCTTTTTTTCACACAAATAGAGCTTTCTTTCGGTGGTATTTGATCACCTGTGCGCTTTTTATTTTTCACGCTATAAACAAAAAAAGGCCAAAAAGTTTGAAGAAAAACAATATTTTTTACTTTCAGCTATAAAAAATATATAGTAAACTCAAAGTTGGTTATAAATTTAGGCCAAAATGTATTCTGCTCCATGTTTTTGGTAAAACAAAATCCCAATAAGTGTATATTGATTGCTTTGTGTGGAAGTTATAGCGTCTACAAACTATGGTATAGATACTACAATTTACGCCATTTTTTTGCTATACAGCGCTGCGCTAGTTTAACGGACAATTGCGCGGTCATGCAATACGGTACATAAATGAAATTTACCTCCTTTTTTTTTTTTTTCCCCCACAAATTGAGCTTTCTTTCGGTGGTATTTGATTGCCTGTGCGGTTTTTATTTTTTGCGCTATTAAAAAAAAAAAGGCTGAAAATTTTGAGGAAAAAAAACAATATTTTGGACTTTTTGCTATAAAACATGTCCAGTAAAAAAAATTTAAAAATCAAATTTAGTCATAAATTTCTGCCAAAATGCATTCTGCGACATGTCTTTGCTAAAAAAAAAAAAACCCAATACGTGTAAATTAATTGGTGTACATGAAAGTTATAGCGTTTACAAATGGCGGGAAAGATACTGGGATTTTTAGTTTTTTTTTATACTAATAATGGTGGCGATCAGCAACTTATGGCGGGACTGTGGCGGACATTCTGACATTGGGGGGTACTGACTTGGGGTCACTGTCATCCCCAGTGACACCAATACAGTGATCAGTGCAAAAAAAACAAAACACTGACACTGTCCTAATGGCACTGGGGAGGAAGGGGTTAAGTTTATTATTCAGGGAAAGGGTTAACTGTGTGAGGGGAGTGTTTTACTAGGGGGCGGGGGTGTGTGCTGCAGGGAACTCCGGCTGATCGGGAGAGAGAAACTCTTCTGTCCCGATCAGCGTGTCCTGGAGCTGTCAGGGAACTGACAGAAAGCACAGCTACTGCAGCTGTGCTCTCTGTCAGCAATTGCTGTCGATCGCCGGGACATAGCCGGTAACGACCGGCTGTGACCCGGCGACTGACATCTGCGGCTGTGATCGGCAGGACAGGTAGGGCGGCGGCGTGTCTCGCGCGCGCCCCCTACCTGTTTTCAAAACACACGTTTTAAAACGTGCTTTTGCCCAGCCGTGCCACCCTGCCGCCGTATTTATACAGTGGCTGGGCGGCATGTGGTTAATATCAACCCGAAATCCAACCAGCTCTCTCTGTAAGCATACTTTACTGGCTCCTTTTCCAATTCCTCATCCGAAATCCATGTTCAAAAAAAAAATCAAAGGACATCTTATAGTACAATACGTCCATGTTTAATGTATGAAAACGTATAGAATACTCAACTTTTAAAATCAGGCCAGCAGACCCATACAAGCATTGGTAATAAAATACATAGGAACAGGTGTACCAAGATGGCAGCCACCGTCCCACCAGAAATGTCACCACTTTTCCCTTTCTGTGTTGTGCTTACTGATTTGAGCTTAATGGTGTATTTCGGCCTCATTTATATGAGTGTCTTAGGGTGTATTAACACTGGGCCGGTTTAAATGAACTGTGCCTGAGATCCATTACCCCACCCCACTCTCCCACTGGTCTGCACTCACCAACTATAAAGACATGTTCCTAGACTTTCTTTAAAGTGGAGCTCCAACCAAAAGGGGAAGTTCCGCTTTAAAGACTGGTCCCCCGCTCCTCATTAAGGATTGGTACCTTTGGGGAACAGGTACCTAAAATTGACAGGTACCCGCTCCCACTTCTGCTGCGATCACCTAGGCAATTGGAAGCGGAAATTGTCCTCCTACTCTCCCACCCTCCCTGTAGACTTCTCGGACACTGGACAGATTCCAGAAGATTACGGGGCCATTCAGGATGCGCAGTGGGCAACCCGGCTGTGAAGCCACAAGCTATCACAGCCAGGTGCCCACACTGAAGATGCCGGCACCTGGAACACCAGATGGCTGGTGAAAAGGGTTGCGGGGAGGACACCGCGCGATCGGGAAACCGGTAAGTGGCTGTTTTTTAAAAGTCAGCAGCTACAGTTTTTGTAGTTGCTGACTTTTATTTTTTCACAGTGCCACTGGAACTCCGCTTTAAGCTAACCAGCCCATAGTGATCCCTGCTTCAGTACATAGTCATCTATGGTTGTCATTCTGTGCTCCAGTACAGTTTGCACCTACACTGAGGCAAACCATTCCAGACTGCAAGTGAGCCGATCACCTCTTCCAAGGGGTCCCAGGGGCGGTTCGGAGCACTCACACTACACAGATCAGCCCCAGGGGTGAACTGCGCCCAGCACTGGATTAAAGCGCTAGTGTGAGTGTATCCCTAAAATGCCACAAATAGCTTATTATTATTATACAGGATTTATATAGTGTAAACAGTTTGCTCAGCATTTTACAATATAAAGGGAGACAATACAGTTCAATACAAGAAGGATAGGAGGGCTCTGCTCCTTGGAGCTTACAATCTAAGCTTCTAGTCTTGTACACATGTAAATGCAGCACTAAAGGGATCAATGGGGTCATACATTTCTGTAGTTTTCATGTGTGTAAAAGCATATTGATGTGTGGAAACTCATGTAAACCCTGAAGAAGTATTTAGGCACATATTTTACGCAGTATCTTCAGCTAACTTTTCCAGGAAGAACCTGAATTCCATGCAAAAAATTGTCATATACCGCCGGTGTGAATGAAGTTTTACTGTCTGGGATATAAGAAATACTTCACTGGTGGTTGGAGTTACTGAAATGCCATAAACCCCTCACATTACTGCAGTAAGAAGTGAGTGTGTTTAGGGGATACCAGCACAGATTGGGATGTATATGGGAGATTAGGACTGTTACTGGGTACAAAAACACAGAATATGGCCTGACCCTGCTAACCGGAGACAGTTGGCAGCTTCTGAGATAACATGAATGTGTATTGTGGTTTTCCTAGCAGCCAGCAGTACCCTACTGCATCCAGCTGTCCATGACTTCCTATGCCCTGGTATGCTCCTGCAGCTATCTAATTTTTCATCTTGGTGTTTAACTCGTGTAAATAAAACTTGCCTGTATTTGTAAATCACATCACAACAACTAGCTGGCAGGCAGCCTCTGATGAAAGCTAGCTGAACCCTAATGCGTGTCAATTAAGACAACACCCATGTATTATAACAAAGTGTATTTGTGCAGGTTTCAGACCTGACCTTCAGGGAGTGAGTGGAAATATATATAGTAGTACTAAAGGCGAAGCATTTTTTTTTTTTTTTTTTTTTTTTTTAACCTTAATGTATTCACAGCAGTATGGTAAAAAATGCCCCAGTACATTCACCCCCAAAGTCCCCTAACACCTTGCTGTCCCTTATCCAAATTTCCGGATTGCGGAGGGGGAAAGGGATAGGGGATCGCATGCCTCCTGCAGCTGTCTGTCAGGAGTTCAGAGGGAGCAGAGGAGCATTGCTTACTGGGCACTGTGTGTAGTTTTGTTTTTCTTTTTTGTTTTTTATGGGCACACTTCGGTGTCTCCTTTATAAGTGGCTAGTTGAAAGAGACACCCATAGACAGGCGTGGCAGTGGCTTTGGGACCAGCCAGTAAAAAGAAAACTACAAACTGTTACTGAAGTAGACTATACACAATATACAAGTGTGGACTTCTTGACATAACTTATGACATAACATCACCCTCTGCCTTCCATTTTCCTTCTGTTGTCAGTGCTCAATGCATCAGGGGAGCTGTGTTCTTACAATCAGATTCACACAATCGCTTTGAAAGCCATATTTTTGTTATACTAGGCTTTGGGATTAAACTATCCACAATCTTGATTATCCACTGCTGCCACTACTGATCAGAAAAAATGAATGATTAATTCATTTGTTCCTCTATTCTAAGAGGAAGGGTTGGGCTCAACAATGTAAACGCCACACTGTTTACATTTTGTGATAGCTCATCACAGTGATCACATTCCGTGTACTTGGAGAATTTACAAAGGAGAAGACAGAATCTGGAGCAGCTATGCATGGTAACCAGTCAGCTTCTAGCTTTCATTTTCAAAGCTTGACTGAACAAGCAGAGTCTGGAGAAGCTGTGCTTCAAGCTTCAGTCTGCTGCAGTTTTAGTAAATTCCCCCCACTGTGTCTTTTGATCTGAGCTGTCCTCTGTTCACAGCGATTAACAGGATGAGTACACTTTGTTTTAAATGTCAAGCACTTAGCCATTCTTAAGTCAGTGGTTAAAGCGGTTCTAAGGCCTCAAGCATTTTTACCTTAATGCATTCTATGCATTAAGATTAAAAAGTCTTCAGTGTTAGAGAATCCCGCCCTGCCCCCCCCCCCCCCCCCCCCTTATACTTACCTGAGCCCCATCATGATCCAGCGCTGTGTATGAGCGCTGCGGCTCCCCTGACTTCGTCCCTCCTCACTGGACAGATTGATAGCAGCAGGAGCCATTGGCTGCTGCTCCTGTTAATCAACTCCAGTGGGGGGGGGACATCATGGGAATCGGCTTCCTACTCGGGGGTACCAGCAAGAGGGGAGGAGCTCCAGCAGAGGACCCGAAAAAAGAAGTTAAGACATGTTATTTAAAAAAAAAAAAAAAAAAAAAAATCCCTTTTCAGCAAATTTAAAGAGAGGTGAAACAATGCATGTTTCCAGGCTACTCATGTCTCTTACAATCATACACATGTGGAACACAGCTGCTCCTTCTCAGCCTGTTGTAGCTGTCATTGATGAGGGTTGACAGCCACTGTGGGTTTGAAATCCAGGTACTGTTGTCTTTGCTTCCTTTTCACCAACATCAGGCGTTTGACTTTTTTTTTTCAGCCTGTAAATGTAAGCTTTATTTGTGTGCACACAGGCGTATTAGAGAGGAGTGTTTACAGGTAAAAACAAAAGTTGTGTTCAGGAGAGGAGCTTTTGAGATGTTGGGTAATCTTTAAAGGGTGACTGTGTTGGTGGAGGTACTTTATATGTTGGTGTATAATTTGTTGGTAAATCATTAATGCGCACATGGTGAGAAATATTGTTTTTTTATAACTAAATGTGGTTTATTACCTGTGATGATAGTATTTAGGATAGGACGCTTTTTTCACGTGCCTTTTTTTTTCATTTTTTCCTCCACATTTACATACAGACCAAGCTGTCTAACCACAATAGCAGTTAAATGGTGTGAAAAAAACATATAACACTGCTGGGTGAGCATTTATTCATCAGGGTAAACGTTTGTTCTAAAGGGGGAAAGTAGATCCCCTGCCAGGATTCTATTGCGGGCTTAGTCTCTGATGGAGAGATTTACCCTCTTCTTTGTTCTGATGACCATTGTCAGCTGAACAGAATATGAGAAAAACCTCTGAAAATTTTATTTGCCATTTGACCTGAAATAGAAGGGAGATTTTTCAAGAGGACACTTGTTTTGGTGACAATCGTCTTGGGGTCCTTTCACACAGTCACTCCCCGTTCCTTTCAGCAGGGGATCGATTCCGAGAGGAACTAAACAGATGTCAGTTTTGTGACATTTGTGCCTGTTCACTTGTCTGCATTTCGATAGAAGACTGGCAGACCCGCATATGATCTATGGGCTGCCAGATGTAAATGGCCTAATGTCTGTTGGTTATTTTTTTTTTTTTTTTTTTTTAATTAAATCGGACTACCTCTGATCTGTGATGTTCTGGAAAACAAAAAAGTAAGCAGTCCTTTTTTCTTTTTCTTCTTCTTTTTTTTTTTTTTTTCAAGATCTGAACAGACAGAGGTAGGTGGATGTAAACAGTCACAGGGGTGTTTACATCTGCCTGTTCATAGCTGCATGTAGATTCTGATCACATCCGCCTGAAATACTAACATGAGGACCTGATCAGAAAACTCATTTGAAAGGGACTTAAGAGGGGATTTTCTCTAACTTTGAGAAGTTCTCACTTCCTTTAGTTGCATGACACGGATGGATAAAACAAAAAGATGTTTTAGGGCCAGTTCGCACCACATGCAGTCCAGTCCTTGCGTTTCTTCCTGCATCAAAAATGCATTGATAGTAGGTTACATGGTTTCCAGTGGCATAGTTCACACGATGCGTTCAGTCCCAGAAAAAAAGTAGAACATGCTGCATTTTTTTTCTGCACTGAACTGTACTGGCGTATGGTAAAACACACCGAAACGCACAAAAACACACAGGAACACACATGTCCTTATTTAAGTTGAAGAAAAAGACAGGAAAAAATTAACCGAGACGTGTCAAAAATGCACAAACACATGTGGACTGCTTTTTATGGTGTAAACTGCCCTAAAGGTCCTCCTTACATAAGTGGACATTGATTAATTTTGTTTTTGTAGATGTAAAATGTAGAATCTATGTAATATAAATGTAGATTTTCAAACTTTATAAAAAAAACGCGAGCAGGTAGATATGCTTATCAATGCAATTCTCCAAACTCCAAGATTACAAAGCTAATTACTTCCCCAAAAATGACCGCCCTAAGATGTTGTTTAACATTACTTTATGTGAACTGGTGTTTGTTATTAATTTGTATATCATGCATAATAAGGCTAGATGGGCAATGCATGCCGAGTGTAATTGATAATACTGTCCAGCTGACCACTTGACAGGTTTACAAGAATAGTGATTGTTTTTGACTGTAATGACTTGCATTTTTCCTTTTTTTTTATCTGCACGTTTGCTAACAATTCTTATCCAGATGTGTTCTCTTTTAGCTTTAACCATTTATTTATTTATTTATTCTTTTGCAGAGCTTTCTAAGTGGTTTATTTGGTCCGATTTGTGAGATTGAAGTGGTACTAAACGATGCAGAAACCAGGAAGCTGTCTGAGATTAAAACGGAAGAAGGAAAGCTAGAAAAGCACTTTTTGTTCTATGATGGTGAATCTGTAGCTGGAAAGGTACGATTTCTGAGTTTTTTTGTTTAATTCTATATATACACTGCTCAGAAAATATCAAAGGAACACTTTGAAAACATGTCAATGGGGAAAGATCTCATGTTGGATATCTATACTGATATGGACTGGATAATGTGTTAGGAACATAAGGATGTCCCATCGTTTGATGAAAATTATCAACCTGCAGAGGACTGCTATTAAAGGCACTCCGAAAATCAAAGTGAAAAATTATGCAGTAGGCTAGTCCATTTTGCTGAAATTTCATTGCAGCAACTCAAAAGGATACTCAGTAGTTTGTATGGCCCCCATGTGCTTGTATGCATGCCTGCCTGGTAACGTCAGGGCATACTCTTGATCAGATGACGGATGGTGTACTGGGGTATTTCCCCCCAGATCTGGACCAGGGCATCACTGAGCTCCTGGACAGTCTAAGGTGCAACCTGGTGGTGTTGGATGGACCGAAACATATCTCAGAGTTGTTTTATTGGATTTAGGTCAGGCGAGCATGGGGGCTACTCAATGGTATCAATTCCTTAATCCTCCAGGAACTGCCTGCATACTCTCGTCACATGAGGCCGGGCATTGTCGTGCACCAGGAGGAACCCAGGATCCACTGCACCAGCGTAGGGTCTGACAATGTGTCCAAGGATTTCATCCCGATGCCTAATGGCAGTCAGGGTGCCATTGTCTAGCCTGTAGAGGTCTGTGTGGCTCTCCATGGATATGCCTCCCCAGACCACCACTGACCCACCACCAAAACGATCATGCTGAATGATGTTACAGGCAGCATAAAAGTCTCCATGGCTTCTTCAGACCCTTTCATGTCTGTCACATGTGCTCAGGGTGAACCTGCTCTCATCTGTGAAAAGCACAGGGTGCCAGTAGTGGACCTGCCAATTCCGGTGTTCAATGGCAAATGCCAATCGAGCTCTGTGGTGCCGGGCAGTGAGCACAGGGCCCACTAGAGGACGTCGGGCCCTCAGGCCACCCTCATGAAGTCTGTTTCTGATTGTTTGGTCAGAGACATTCACATCAGTGGCCTTCTGGAGGTCATTTTGTAGGACTCTGGAAGTGCTCATCCTGTTCCTCCTTGCACAAAGGAGCAGATACTGGTCCTGCTGATGGGTAAAGGACCCTCTATGGCCCTGTCCAGTTCTCCTAGAGTAACTGCCTGTCTCCTGGAATCTCTTCCATGCTCCTGAGACTGTGCTGGGAGACACAGCAAACCTTCTGGCAATGACATGTATTGATGTGCCATCCTGGAGGAGTTGGACTGCCTGTGTCACCTCAGAAAAGATGAGTAGGGAAAAAAAATGTCAGTGGCCTCCACCTGTAAAACCATTCCTGTTTTGAGGTCATCTAATTGTTGCCCGTCTAGTGCATCTGTTGTTAATGTCATTAACTCCAAAGCAGCTGAAACTGATTAACAACCCCCTCTGCTACTTATCTGACCAAATCAATATCCCAGCAGTTTAATTGAATTGATGCTATAATCTGATTAAAGTGTTTTTTAATTTTTTTTTGAACAGTGTATGTGTGTATATAATATATATACCGTGCTCAGCATGAATGAGTACATCCCAACAGATTTGTCAGAAAACCTTTACTTTCCTTTGAGAATCATCATTTTCTATGGGACACTATACCACAAAATGCTCCCACAAATGCAGGCCATTGATTGCAAACAAGATTTGTTAATTTGCAGGCACAAAGTATTTTTCCTAACAAACTCATTCAAAACCAAATTAAAAATGAATACACCCCAATGAAAGTCTAACACCCTGGTTACATCAAGCCTGACTTTGAAATCATGTGACTTACAGTGAAGTCGCACGATTTCAAAGTCGGGACATGCCGATTTCTGGTGCGATTTGCAAGACATCTGACACAGATGTCTAAGCAAATCACACGAAAAGTAGTGCATGTACTACTTTAGAAATCGGTGTGGCTACGACCAAGTTGGAAGCACATATGATTTGCAAGTCACATGGGATGCGAATCGCATGCCAAGTCGCACCCAGTGCGACCAGAGTATTGGGAGCAAAGCGAAATTTTAGACAACAAAATCCTAGTTAACAAGAATTCAACTGCAGGTGAATCTAATTATTCATTAAACAGGTGTCCAGCACACAGTTGATTTATAATAGGGTGTTACCTAACAAAGAAAACCCCTTCCCATTTCATGCTGTCCGCAATGGCACCACATGGAAGAGAAATGTCACAAGGCCTGAGAAAGAAAATAATTTCTTTACACAAGAAAGGTGAAGGCCACAAGATCAGCAAAGCTTTACTTATTAGTCAGAATACTGTAGCAAAAATGTAGCAAAGATGGAACTGTAACCATCTCACAGACATCCAGGCTGTCCACGGAAGTTAACACATTGACTTCAGCATCTTTTGATGAGAAAGGTTGAAGAAAATCTCCATGGAAGTTCTTTGCTGTTAGCTAAAGAAGTAGCCTAACTGGGGTGATTATTTCTCGTGACACAGATTGGCATACACTTCAGAGGAATGGCATGCATGGGTGTCGTCCTCGAAGGAAGCCTCTCCTAAAGCCCATGCACAAAAAAGCCCACCTAGAATTTGCCAGGGCCCATGCTGAAAAAGACTACTAGGACTGTGTACTCTGGAGTGATGAGACCAAGATAAATGTTTTTGGAACTGATGGCTTCAAAACTGTATGGCATCGCAAAGGTGAGGAGTACAAAGAAAAATGCTTGGTGCCTACAGTAAAACGTGGTGGCAGTGTCCTCCTGTGGGGCTCCATGAGTGCTGCTGGTGTCAGGGAGGTTCATTTCATTGATGGTATGTACTATATAGTGAAAGAGAAGATGCTACCATCACTCTGTGCCCTTGGTCATGGTGCACTTATCCAACATGACAATGATCCAAAACACACATCTTAGGCCACTATTGCATTTCTGAAGAACAGGGTGAAAGTGATTCAGTGGCCAAGTATGTCTCCTGATCTGAACCCCATCGAACACCTATGGGGAATTCTGAAGAGACAAGTTGAGCATCACTCTCCATCCAGCATCCAGGCTCTAAAAGAGTTTGTTCTTGAAGAATGGAACAAAATGTTGCAATATGTCGCCAACTTGTTTATTCCATGCCTAGAAGACTTAGTGCTGTCCTTACAAATCATGGAGGTCATACAAAATACTAGATGGAGTTTTTTGTTGTGGGGTGTATTCATTTTTGCATCAACTAATTTGAGTAAAAATGAAGATTTTGTAATCTGTTATATTATTAACCTTACTTTCATCTAACGAGCTAAACAAATGTTCTATAAAGGTCAGTTTTATTAAAATTCTGGAAATTCGATTTTATATAGTAGTGGTTTGTTTGTGACATCTGTTTAAAAAGAAAATAAATGTTTTGACTTTGTTAAACTAGGTCAGGGTTTGGCATTGTTCAGATGGGATTTTACATAGACATGTGGAGAACTTCAACTTCTAGGTGGTAGTAGGCATTCCATTAGGCATAGTAAAAATGCGTTTGTGAAAGGGTACCCATCTCGCTCCTTGAGGTTGTTTTTGGCAGCGACCTTAAGAAGTTTATTTTGACTTTCTACAATATCCTTACCCCTTCTGCTACAAAAATGGCGCGTGTAGCCAAAATCCTTTGGGATGTGCAGTACCTATTGGGGCTCCACCCTGACTCTGACAAATACATGATTAAGTTCTTACAGGGGACTCTATTTACTGTAAGAAAAGTGATAGCACGCAACTAGATGTAAGCTCCCATGCTGCAATCCTGGCTAGCAGACCTCAATAACACTCTTTCATATAAAAAAACTAATTTTATATCCACAGGGACTGCCCTTCCAACTATAACAAACTCTGGAACCCCTGGTTGCTGCATTCTTAAAGCTAGCAGGGATGTTGAATTCCTATCGCCTGACGCCCAGGACAAGTAGTTCCTGACGCCAGGCAGGTAGGTTTTTTTTTTTTTTTTTTTTTTTTTTTTTACCTTCAGCCCTGCCGGGCAAGCAGCGATCTCACCTACCAGGTGGAAGCATTTGGGTGGCAGCACTGCTGCCAGAATGCTTCCACACAGTGCCAGCCATGTCCGCTCCCCTTCTTGTCCTGACCCGGAAGTGACGTCATGTCGTGACTTCCAGGTCCCCGTTGAGAGATTCCCAATAATTGAGGCTAGGAAAGAATGTAATGCAGTGCGATGTGCACTGCATTACATTCAGGGGAGCACGGGGGAGAGACATGCAGGGTCTTTTAGACCTTGGATGTCTCAATAAAGAAAACCTGTCACCAAAAATTCATTGTCCAATGTCCCCTATGTGATGAAGAAAAAAAATAAGTAATTACACGCCAGAATGAGAGCAATAATTCTAGCGCCAGACCGCCTCCGTAACACTATACTGATGACCTAGGAGGGGCTTTTAAAGCATCAACTATAGCAAATATAGGGTACTGAAGTTTGTCGCCATTTCATGAGTGCACGCAAATTTAAGGTTTGACAAGTTGGATATCTATTTACTTGCTGCAACCTCATCTTTTACATTTTATAAAAAAATAGGGTAGTTTGCTTTTTTTTTTTTTTTTTTTTTTTTTAATTTTATTGTGCCCTAAAATGAACTAACTTGTATTATTTTGCTGAAATTTTGTGATAATATGCGACATATAAAATAAAATTGGAACTACCACAATTTTATTCTCTAGGGCAGGGGTCTTGAATTAAAATTTACGGAGGTCCTGTCAGCAAAATTTCCTTCCAGCAGAGTTTTGAATCTCGTTAGCGATATAACACGTCACAGTCCCCTGCTACATTATGATCTTTAGCACACCTTTCACACTGTAGTCCCCTTTACATCACAGTCCCCGCTTTAAAGAAGTCCCACAGTGTCCTCAGTTCCCCTTCACATCACTGCCCCCCTTAACACTGCACAGCGCCCTTTGACACAACACAAATCCCCTTTTAATGCAAGCCTTTCCCTGGTACCTTTAGGCAGGGCAGAGACACTAAATCCTTCTGGGGTGTCCTCTCCTGGGCCTCCAGCCCACCACCAGTGTCGCCCTCAAGGTGGGCTAGGTGTGGGGGGTCCTGTCCAGACCTTGGCCTTGGCACGACTGCTGCTGGGTGTCCTTTTCCGGGCCTCCCGCCTGGCTGCCGGTGTCATCCTCGAGGTGGGCTAGGTGTCCAGACCTCGGCCATGCCGCTGCTGGTTGTCCTTGCGGGGGGCTGCAGGTCAGGACTGGGGTGTGGAAGCTGGTGATTGCTTGGCTTGTTGTGTGGGGACTTTTGCTCTCTGCGGCTCGAGGTGGGGTCAGCGCACTTGTTGACATGGTGTCTTGGGTAGCTCCCACCCCTCAGTCCCGATCTGCAGCTCCTCACACCACCCCGCCCACTGTGGGGATGGCCTCAGTGGCTGGGCAGAGGGGGGGCCCCCGGTGGTGGCGTGGCCGTGACCGGACTGTTCCGGACCGTTCCGGACCGTGGTTCGCCATTTAGTGACCACTGCTCTAGGGTCTCTGATTTCAGAAAATATATCCTGTTTGGGGGTTTTGTGTGATCTTCAGGCCTAAAATGATTTTTTTTTTAATCTTGTGCAAAAAAATGCAAAAACGGCTCTAGCAGCGAAAGGGATAAAGGATAAGCCTGACACTCCCTGTTCCTGACAAGCATCCAATCGGTGCTCATTACACTGCATGGTGTCTCTGCTCCCTGCTAGTCCCTGGGTGCGGTGCTGGAGACAGGCAGGGAGGGGAGGAGGAGATGAATAGTGTAATGTTAAAAAATATTAACCATTTAAATCACCATGAAGCCCCTTTTTTGTTTTTAAAACATTCCTAATATCACCTCTGATTTTAAATACAGTTTTGGTTAATTTTTTTTTTTTTTTCTTTTATCTGGACAAGTGGATTGTCATGAGGGACAAGTAGATTGGGACACCGATTTTAGTCCTTGGACAAGTTGTTTTTTTCAAAAATTCAACACCCCTGCCTCTATATGATGGCTCCTCCAACTTGTGAAACAGGGCCAAGGTTTCTTATTGGGATACTTTAGTCACCATAAATGGAACCAATTAAGTATATTTCTCACCTGCTATATGCAAGCACTACTGCCCTTTTGATTATTTTCTACTTCATATGTTACGTGTAAGCCATTTTAACTCTACTAGCCATGTCTCCTCATGTTTACACCTTGACACTGATGCTACCTTCAGTCTTTGTATGTTCTTATTGTCCTTCATGTGGCCATTACACCTTTTTGGACCGTCATTTCTGTGTATGGTGTAAGTCACACCTGTTATTTTGTACAGTGGATCTTGTTTCCTGCTGTACAACTTCCCCCCCCCCCCCCCCCCCCCCCCATAAAGTACTTGCTTGTGTTCGATATAAAAAATACCTTTGTGAGAAGCCTGAGGTAGTTGCAATTCTGACTCTGGGCCAAGGAACAATTTTGGAACAGCGAAGCTGTGAATGTCATTACCCTGGAACTGGGATTTAGTGTAGATGTCGGAGAATGTGAGCTTACATCTGAGGCTTTCCACACAAGTAACTGCTTTTTAAAATACTCTTTAAAATTAACAGTGCTGGTCTTGGGCACCAGATCAGTGCCTTTACAGTGCAAATAGTGGAAGGAGGCATGTCGACTAGGGCCGATGTGTCGGAGTTACTGCTTGTTAAACATTCACAGGCAAGCTCATAGCAGACAGGAGTGGGTATCAAGGGAACTCTGTCTGAACGCCACAACAGTCATGCTTAGTAAATGGCTCTGCAGGGGCAGGGAGCATATCGGTGCTTTCCTTCCTTTCTTTATTAAGGCTCCATACACACTAGCTTATTTTTAAGCTCCTAGCAGCTAATTATTATTATTACTATATTACTTCTAGGAGCAGAACCTGTTTTTGGAGCAATTTTACCAGCAGATACAATGTTGAATGCTCCTAACAGCTTTTTTTTTTTTTTTTCCCCTATATGTACTGTAAAAATGCTCCCCAAAAAAATATTACCAGTGGTTTTTATCCACTGTTTTTTGAGCTTCAAAAGAACGCTAGTGTGCATGGAGCCTAAGACTGTTATGTAGAGGACTGTCGGCAGCACAGCCACATTCATGGGTGTGAATGAGGTCAACAAGAGGAATGGCCACAAATTGGGCTTCTGGAAGGAGATGAGCTGACTGGCTGGGTTGAAACAAGTAAAGGAATTATCTCCAGTCATTTAGCATTTCTTTAACCACTTCAAGTCTGGACACTTTTACCCCCTCCCTGTCCAGGCCAATTTTCAGCACTATCACACTTTGACAATTGCACGGTCATGCAAGACTTTACCCATATGAATTTTTTAGCATTTTTTGAGACAGATAAAACTTTATTTTTTTGTATTTATTCACCACTGGGATTTTTATTTCTTTTGCTATATAAATGAAAGTCCAAACATTTTGAAAAAAAGTGTGTTTTTTTCTTATAAAATTTTGCAAATATTTCATCATAAATTTTGGCCAAAATTTATTCAGTTATCTTTTTAGTAAAAAAAAAAAAAATAACCCAAATTTAGTTTATAACCAAAAATTATAATCTAAAAAAAGTTTACATTTTTTATTTTTATATTGTGTTTTGTTTTTTTTTTTTTTTTTTGCATACTGTCACCCTAGCAGTACAATGTCACCATGGTGACACTGTACTACTTGTGGGGATGATTTTTTTTTTTTTTTTTTTTTACACACTGATTGCTTTTACACCCATAAAGACTGTAAAAGCAATCATTTCTTCTCTCTGGCTGCATTCTTGCAGCCATTGAGAAAAACTGTGTGAGCTGTGATTGGTCACAGCTTTCACATGGTACAAGGCTGTTGGGAATAGCCTTGTACCATGTGACCTCTGCGATCATTCACAGATTTCACACGTAGTAAGCAATGATGTCAGAAGTGACATCTTGCTTACTACTCTGCATGTGATAACTGACTGGCCAATCAGTGATCACATGATCGGGACCCATATCATGATCGGTGCTCCACTGTGTCCTGAGGACACAGCGGGCACCAGATCGCAGTGCTGTGTGCACCGCGCACAAGCAGGGGGTGGGGAAGCCGTTTATAAATGGCCACCCACCCCTGCACTGCCACCATCCGGGCATTTATATACAACGAGAGGTGGTTAAATTTGTTAATGTAAGAATACGTTCACACTAGCCTTGTTACAAGCGGCAGACAGGAGTTTGGGAAGTGTTTTTACCGTTTCCCAAACACCTGGAAAAATTCTGCACATTGCAGCTCATGGTGCTGTTCAAACGGGAGCATTAGCGTCGCGGCAAAACGGATGCCTCTGGTCGAGTCAGGAGGAGTTGGAGCCTCCTATTCAAGTCTATGGTGCGGTTGTGGGGCGTTTGCGGAGCGTTAACACTATTCAGACTTCATTACAGGGGTATGTGTGGTGTTTTTAATGCTTGGCAATCACCTAGCAACCTCCGCTAAACCGTGCATGCGGCGTTTGCAGAGTGTTAAAAACGCTCCGCAAATGCCGGACCAACGCTTGTCAAACGCTATAGGGGTGTTTGGCAAGAGTTGGAAAAACAGTCAAATGTGAACGAGCCCTTATAAACATACAAGAAAAGAATATGAAAGCTTGAAAATGTGTTGCACCAAAAATGATTTTTAGATAAATGCTGCATTAGTAAATGAAGATGCAGTGTACTTTCTTGGTAAGTTTTATATGTAAATAGGAGATATACATAGCCTGCTACAGTTAGGATCAAATTGTCATGGGCCACTGACTTATCACACACAGAGTTCAGCTTCTGTTATGTAGGTTCCCTATAATGTAACTTTACAGTGCTTCAGATTTTTTTTTTTTTCTGCAAGGCATGCAGTTAGCCATAATGCATTGTACTTGTGGGAGTAAGTTCCTGTTGTCTTTGCTGATTTGTCATGGTGAGTAAATGAATGCTCATCTGTGTTATTTGCTTATCTGTCTAGGTCAATATTGTCTTCAAACAGCCGGGAAAAAGACTAGAACATCAAGGAATTCGTATTGAATTTGTCGGGCAAATTGGTAAAGATTCTCTGCTTTTATATGATTCTAAATAATGTAGAAAAGATCACAGAAGCTTTATTTACAGTATATGGCATATCAGCAGGTGTACGAAGGTAGGGAACAAACAAATTGGGCTGCCTGTAGATGAGATTTTGTTTAGATACCCAACCTGGTCTCTAAAGAAATCCACTTATCTGTTCCCGCAATAGAAGAAAGCTTGTCTCTCTAGCAGACATCTCCTGCCTTCCTTTGGTTCTAGTGATGCAGCCTGAGTCAGTCTCAGCAGTCTGTTAGTCTCCTGGTCATTCCACACTCTTGGAAGTGTTCGATGCCTGTGTCATGCGCCACACACGGCTTCATTCTTCCACCTCTTACATCGAGTCACGTAGGAACTTTGGGGTTGGTGGAAGGAACCTTGGCTCGCAGTTGGGAACACAGGTGTCCAACCCTCCTAGAAGAATGTTCAATGATGGAGACTGATGAAGGCTGCAGCGCTAAACAGCGCTAAACAGAGGAAAGGTAGGAGACACCCTCTGCCAGAGAGGTGAGCGCTAACTCTTCTATTGCAGGGAACTGACTATTTCATTTCTTTAGAGACCTGGCAGGGTCCAAAAAAAAAAAAAATGTGAATGAACAACATGCAATTATTTTGTGACTTTGTTAGTGAAGATTGGGTGTTCTCTCTGATCATAGCTCTAAACCATAGCTGATCTATTTAAATTACGAAGGTGTGCTGTTAGTTGAAGTATACTGTTGAGCTATAGTCAAATACTTTTGCTTATGTCTTTTTTGTAGATTCTTCAGAATATTCAGCAGGCTGGAAGCTTTTCCTGCCTTTAGAATACAGCACTAAGTATTTAAGGACAATTGGTTTTCCTCCCCTATTCTGACCTTCGCTGCTGGTCAATAGGAGCAACCTGAATTGACAACTTTTTGTACACACGAGCCCAAGTAGCTGTGTGCTTTTTCCTCCTGCAGTTTTTAATTTTGGCTCCGTTCACAGAGCTAACACCCTAAGATGAGGGCTACTTATTTAAAAATAGGGACAGTTATTTAGCCAAGTCTAGAAAAATCAGTTATTTAATATCCAATCAAATATTTAAAAAGAAGCCACATGCTACAATAAAGCTTCAAATCCTTGTGCCAAAGGTTTGCTAATTGAGCATGATACTGGCATTCAGTGCATTGCCTAAAATATTGTAATTAGGCATTTGGTGTTTTGTTACATTATTTTGTCATAAAGAGTATACCGTAGTATATAAAGTCATTTTTATTATATGTGTGTGTGTGTGTGTGTGTGTATGTGTGTGTGTGTGTGTGTGTATAAAAAAATTTTTTTTTTGGTTAGATGTGCAGCCTCTCTCTCTCTTTTGTTTTAGTGACCATTGTCACTAAAACAAAAAGAGAGAGAGAGCAAGAATAGAGGGTAAGTCTTCCAGTGGAGAGCATTTGCCCCAGTGACAAATGTCTGAGGATTTTCCTCACTTCTGTCATGTCTTATGGACAGGAAGAGAGGCGTAATCTTAATGGGGCACAAAAAGGAAAATCTTTTCACCTTTCTCTGCTCTATTCAAAACATGTTTTGGCTGAATATGGCCTAGTGGGCATGCCTTGCCCACTGCACCTGGTGTACTTAGATTACATTGTTTCTCAAGGCTGTATTTACTTTAGTGGTAAAGTATGCCCATTGTTATTGTGTGAAAGGAGTGCAGCTGCAGACCCAGAGTTAAGTAACCGGTTGGTGTGTGCTTTATCATGCCTACTTCCACCCAGCATTAAAGTCGAACTGTGGGCAGAATAAAAAAATGACATTTGCTGTAGCATTAAAGTGTTCCTAAACCCAGGTTCCTGCATTCACTATATCTGGTCTCCCACAGTACACACAACATGAAAGTGCAATTATTTTTTAGTAAATCTAAACTGCTAAATACCTCTTCTCATCAGCAGTATATAGCAGTCTTGTAACTTCTATCAGTGTCCAGCTGATCACTGGTTAAAGCTTGTAGGAGGAGTTTTCTTTCTGCTCTAGGAGGATGCAAAACCCTGATTTCAGTCTGGACAGTGCTTATTGGCCCTGTGCTGATCACATGCACTCTCGCAAGAAAAAAAAACCCCTAGCAATACACACTAAACTGAGTATGTGCAGAATGGCTGCAGTTCAGTCTGTCTTATTTGATAAGACGTGGACCTTTGAACAAGAGGAGGAGCAGAAAAGTCAGGATCAAACTGCCTTTTTACACAATGCAGATTAGGTTCCACAGTGAGTATACCAGCATGCTTTACTGCATATAAAGACTGATTTTACTGTCATGGGTTTAGTAATACTTTGAAAAACTACAGACTTATGGGAAAGATCAACAGATATTAACTTCCTTTTAACAGACCAAGCTGTCCAGTAAAAGTGGCAGAGGGATGAGACGCACACTATTTAACACTGTCAGGAATGCTTACAATGGTCAGCTTTCATTGATTTAGTTAAAACCTTTATCCCAAAAGGAAAAAAAAAAAGCTTTGTGTAACTGCTCAAAAAGTCTTCGATGAACTAGTAAATTTACTAAATTAAACTAAAGCCTAACTCCAGCTAACACTACCCTTTCTACATGTCGGATGTATTGCTGTCCAAGGGTGGCTATGCTCCACTTCCATAGGTACAGTGGAGGACTTAGTATAGTCATCGTCAGACAGAGTGCTACTGGCCGGAGGAAAAAAAAAGCCCTCAAAAGAAAAGAAGTAATGAAGTTTTGGGTTTAAATACTTTTTTTTTTTTTTTTTTTTTTTTTAATTTTTAGTGTTTTGTGGTTTAACTTTTAAAATCATCATATATTGCATGAAACATACAAAACGCCGTATACAATTGCTTTACAATTTTTTTTTTTTTTTTCCTATTCTAGAACTTTTTAATGATAAAAGTAATACACATGAGTTTGTCAACCTTGTCAAAGAATTAGCTTTGCCTGGGGAGCTGACACAAAGCAGAAGTTATGACTTCGAATTCATGCAAGTTGAGAAGCCTTATGAATCCTACATAGGATCAAATGTTCGGTTGAGGTACGAATCAATATTAGTTTCTTTTCTCTTCACACTCATTGTCTGTCCTTGCTTGGCACTAGTGTTTATGGAAGCATAATTTTGTTTTAAAGGTACTTTCTTAAAGTGACAATAGTGAGGCGCCTTTCGGACTTGGTGAAGGAGTATGATCTGATTGTTCACCAGCTCGCTACATATCCAGATGTCAATAACTCCATTAAAATGGAAGTTGGAATTGAGGACTGTTTGCACATAGAATTTGAATACAATAAATCGAAGTAAGTATCCAGGCTACTGTGGCTAAGTATACGTGTATAGTAAAAGGGAGTGTTCACATGTTCCCACTGCATAGTAAAGGTTTCCTTTAGCCACAACTTAATGTGTGAAAATGCGATTCTAAGGACAAAACTCTATTTAGCACCTCTCTGTGCAGCTCCCCTAGGTGCAGTCTGGAGGTAGCAATTCCATCATAAATTCATTGTCCCTCTGGTCCTTCTGTGCTGTGCCTGTTGCCATTTTAATGAATAGCAGCTGTGTCTTTATACTACATGGAATACATATAAAGACTATATTTGTGTGAAGAATCTGCAATACAAATGTGTAAAAAAATGTAAAATCTACTGGCCTTGTACATGTATGGTGTGTGGCATGTGGGGTTTTCTTATTTTGTTGTGTGTTTGGGGGGATTTTTTTTTTTTTTTTTTTAAATGAAAACTCATTAAGATAAAAATAACTTACTCAAGAAAAGGGTACTGTTATTTTTGGTAACCCTGCACTGCAAGAAAAACCATTGTATTAGTTAGAATTCATGGTACAGCTTGTTGGAGATCTTAGTCATTATCCATGTAAATTCAGCCAATGACTTCTACAGCATGCTCTTTTTGCTTGATCTTTTTGTTTTAGCTTTTCTCTGGTTTATATCAAGGCATTTTGATATAGGAATGCTATTGTGAAAATTATCTGTTGGCGTAGCTGAGGACATTAATTTCTTGATGTGTTTGTCTTTTTTCTCCAGATACCACTTAAAAGATGTTATTGTGGGAAAGATCTACTTCCTACTGGTCAGAATAAAAATCCAACATATGGAATTACAGTTAATAAAAAAGGAAATTACTGGAATAGGTAAAAGCTCCCCCCCCCCCCCCCCCCCCGTTTAAAGTGTACCTTGCACTCCAAGCAAGTTTCTCTGATTTAGGGCCAGTTCACATATGTGCGTTTTTAGTTGCGTTTTACCTGCTTTTAGACGCATTAAAATAGAGCTCTATATAGCATCAAAAATGCAATAAGCAAGTTTTTTTGTTTTATTGCACTGCACTCAAAATGCAAATGTACAAACAGGACCTTAGTGGGGGCCCCATGCTAATACTCTATACTAAACTGAAAATGGGGGGGTTATTATACATGCCTTTCCCCCAGCTTATGTATTGCAGGGGGTGGTGTTGCCATTCTTTTTTGAAGTGACCCAAATCTCTTGTGATGAGGATCATCTTTTAGCAATATTTGGGCTACTTTGCATTTCCTGGGTTCTCTTCAGAAGGATGGCAAGATAGCCCTCGCCTAGGTGCCAGAGAGGAAAGGGAAGTATATCAAGGCATATATAATGCCAAAAGAAAAATGTAATATAGCTAGATGTAAATCCGCATTCATGCAGCGGGAATCGCTTAAAGCGGAGTTCCACCTGTAAAAAAAAAAAAAAAAAAAAACTTTTAAAATACAAACCCTTACCTGTCCCTTGGTCCAGCGGTGTCCTCACCACCGCTGATTTCACCAACTGTCTCCTCTCCCTGGCGCTGGTATCTTCAGTGTGGGCACCCGGCTGTGACAGCTTGCGGCTTCACAGCCGGTTGCCCACTGCGCATGTGCGAGAAGTGCTACATTTTGAGAATGACCCCGTAGTCTTCTGGGACTTGTCATGTGTCCCAGAAGACTACGGGGGGGGGAGGACAACTTTCACTCGCCTAGGTGATCGCAGTGGGAGTGGTACCTGTCCAATTCGGGAAGCCACGCTATCCACCTGCTCCCCAAAGGTGATGAACACGGGAAGGTGGCGATTTGCAAACTTAGCTAAATAAATTCTCTGGCTAGTTGGCTCCTGTCAGCAGTACAGCAATCCATGCGTGTATCTGAAAACCTCTCCTGATGTTGCCAGTCGATCAAGTAAACAAAAATTGGGTTTTCAGTTATCTAGGTAGAGGCTACTTTAGTGGTCAGTGTGGGGCCCAACAACTATTGTGGGTGAGATCTAATTTTGACAGGTGTTCAGTCAGTTCATACCAGGGTGGATAAAAATCAATGAGTTTTTTTAAAAAATCAAAAAAAATCAGATTTTTTTTTTTATTTAAATCGGATTTTTTTTTAAATAAAATGCTTTTTGAGGAAAATATATTACCATCCAAAGGTTATTCCATCATGAAATAAAGATTAGTTTTTTAATTATGTAGAATAAGGCTGTATATGTTTAATTTTTTTGGTAAATAAATTCCATTAATCCATTCACAATGTCATGCTCTTCCAGAGGTTTTTGTAAGATTATTGGGCAGTTTCTCTGCCTACAAGATATTATCACAGATGCTTGGTTTACTTTTGCAGTTCTCAAAACTGAATATGACTCAGCGGAGATCACATGCCTCTTCTTCACAGCAAAAATGTTATAACATGAACAGAGTTAAGAAAAAGACCTTAATCCTAACTTCTACAAACCTATGAATACAGAATCAACCCCTTCAGTGCTAAGTTTCAAGAAGTTCAGTGAATAGAATAGAAACAATATTTTTTGATTGTTTGGAGTGGGATAGATCTGCACAAGAAGAAAGTGAAACTAAGTGTGAGGAGGAAGGGGCTGACAGTCTAAGTTTCTAAAAAATATATATATTTTGTTTAGCCAAATTAGTTAACAAACATGGATGTTTGTTTAAGCAAATAACATGCTGTAATATTATTGTTTCAGTTGAATAAATCTATTTAAATTGTTATTAAGGTAATGATTATTTTTCTCCTTCCTAAGTACAACAGGAAAGTTGTCCAAATATGAATGATTAACCTATTAAACTGGGGGTAAAAAAAAACTAATATGAAAAGTTGTTATTCTAAAAATCTTCATCTACTTGCATATTAAAGTTATACCAGCAAGAATTAGTCTTTATGTAGAAAACTAGGATTTAAATCAAGCCTTACTGACTAGTGATTTAAATCAGTTTGATTTAAATCCAATCCACCCTTTAAATTCCATACTGTAAATACAGATTCCACTGCCATTAGAACCTGCTTTTTATACAAATATAATTTACAGTAGCTGCCACAGAGGATTCATGAAACTACAGTACAATATAAAGAGGTGGTCTTTACCAAGTTGTAGGCTGTTTCATCCAGAAACCTCTGCAGGGAAAAGTATTTGGTGTTATTCAGTATTGCTTTTGTTTTATGAGAATCAGACATAGGACTTCTATTAGGGCCCCTGTCAATGGACATTTGGTTGGCCACTGACGGGCCCTAATAGAAGTCTATGCAAACTGCTCGAAGCAGGTAAATAGCAGGTCAAAGATGATTGTTCTGAATGATCTCAGAAGCATTTCAAACTGATGCTGACACAGGCCTTAATCTTGTTCATTACTGTGGAACATGAATAATGTATTGTTTTGTTTTTCAGGACCTAGTACTACAACTGAAACAGAAACTGTTGCAAAATATGAAATTATGGATGGGGCACCTGTAAAAGGTAATATTTCTTGAATTGGTTATTACTTGCGAATGCACTTTATAAATTATGTTTTGTTTTTTTTAACCTCTTCCTGCCAATGTGGCACATATATGCTGCCCTCTCTGTGGGTGGGTCGCATATATGCTGCCCTATGTGCTGATGGGAAATCCAATATCATACATTTTGTTACTGGAACAAAAGTAGAGGATATCTTCCAGTGCAGAGGCCTGTGATGATGTTGACGGGACAGTAGTGAAATATCTCCAGTGGGGGAGACGGCCATAAAACCTAGCAAAGGTTCTTTCCTTCCTCTCTAGTCATAGTAGCTGAATTTCCTCCTGAACATTTAAGCCATTTGTATGAGTGCCCAAATCTACTAAAGCCTAAGCAGATTTTTGATAGATGGCAGGATCATTCGATGTATTGGGCTCTTTTTTGATGGACATGGTTTTATGTTTAATATAATAAAGCCTGCAGCATTGTAAGCGGCACGCCCTTTATATTCCTCTCTTTTTTAATTCTGTTTGTATTTACAATATTTGTTTAGGAGAGTCTATTCCCATCCGGCTATTTCTTGCTGGTTATGACCCCACACCCACAATGAGAGATGTGAACAAGAAGTTTTCTGTGCGTTATTTCTTGAATTTGGTCCTTGTCGATGAGGAGGACAGAAGATATTTCAAACAACAGGTAAAGTTTGGTGTTTACTGATTTGGTTTGCTACTGTATAAGGTTTAAAAGTAAGTATGTGAAACACACATTTACTTGACTTTATAATAGCTACCACAGGGTCAGAGACAAAAACTCTGTTTAGGGTGATTCTGTTCATGTAAAACTTAGGAGCACTAAGAAACCAATGGACAATTCAGCCTCTTGGCATTCACCCAACAATAAATCCTCTTTCTTAAAGTGGCATTAAATCAGATCAGAGTACTTTTCTTTAGAAGTGGAACTAAACTGCATCTGAGCACCACAAACCAAAAAATGCTATTTAGTTCATTTTTAATATTCAATGCAAGCTCACCCATCCATTCATGTCTACCTGCATTGTTTTGCTGAGTAATCACTTTGAAAAACACCCCCTAGCATTTTTGGCTGTAGTCATACTGGGTAAGGGTAGATGATTCATGTAGCATTTGCTTCCTGGAATCCATCTGCCCCTAACTCAGGCATGCTTAACTGAGAGCTCCTCCTCCTGGGATGTGTGACATCATTTGCCTAGGTATGGAAACCAGTAAGTAACTGAAGAAATGTAAAAAAAGGTTTAAACAAGTAAAATATGATTTCCTTATCTATTTACTAATGCTACCACAAAAAGGATTACAAATAGTTCATGTTGTATGAGAGAATGTTAATTTTCCACTTTATGGCGGAACTTTACGCTCTCAATCAAAACGGAACATTTTTAATCCTTATGCTGCTACTATTAATAAATAGATAGGACAGTACACTATGTTGCCAAAAGTATTGGGACACCCCTCCAAATCATTGGATTCAGGTGTTCCAATCACCTCCATGGCCACAGGTGTATAAAATCAAGCACCTAGGCATGCAGACTGCTTCTACAAACATTTGTGAAAGAATGGGTAGCTCTCAGGAGCTCAGTTAATTTCAGGCATGGTAACGTGATAGGTTGCCACCTGTGCAAGTCCATCCATGAAATTTCCTTGCTATTAAATATTCCACAGTCAACTGTTAGTGGTATTATAACAAAGTGGAAGCAACTGGGAACAGCAGCAACTGAAGTGGTAAGCCACGTAAAATGACAGGGTGGGGTCAGCACATGCTGAAGCGCACAATGTGCAGAAGTCTCCATCTGTCTGCAGAGTCAATAGCTAAAGACCTCCAAACTTTGTGTGGCCGTCGATTAGCACAACAGTGCGTAGAGAGCTTCATGGATTGGGTTTCCATGGCTAAGCAGCTGCATCCAAGCCTTACATCACCAAGTGCAAGTGTCAGATGCAGTGGAGTAAAGCACGTCACCACTGGACTCTAGAGCAGTGGAAACGTGTTCTCTGGAGTGAATAATCACACATCTCTGTCTAGCAATCCGATGAACGTGTCTGGATTTGCTGGTTGCCAGGAGAATGGTACTTGCCTGACTGCATTGAGCCAAATGTAAATTTTTTGGTTGAGGGGGGATTATGCTGTGGGGTTGTCTTTCAGGAGTTGGGCTTGGCCCCTTAATTCCAGTGAAGGAAACTCCTTAAGGCATCAGCATACCAATACATTTTGGACAATTTCATGCTCCCAACTTTGTGGGTACAGTTTGGGGATGGCCCTTCCTGTTCCAACGCGACTGCACACCAGTGCACAAAGCAAGGTCCATAAAGACATGGATGAGCGAGTTTGGGGTGGAGGAACTTGACTGGCCTGCACAGAGTCCTGATTTCAACCTGATAGAACACTTTTGGGATAAATTAGAGAGGAGACTGTGAGCCAGGCCTTCTCGTCCGACATCAGTGCCTGACCTCACAAATGTGCTTCTGGAAGAATGGTCAAACATGTCCCATACACACACACACTCCTAAACCTTGTGAACAGGCTTCCCAGAAGAGTTGAAGCTGTTATAGCTGCAAAGGGTGGGCCAACTCAGTATTGAACCCTACGGACTAAGACTGGGATGCCAATAAATTTCATGTGCGTGTAAAGGCAGGCGTCCCAATACATTTGGCAATATAGTGTATATTGTATTTACTTGTTTCAAACTTTTTAACGTTTCTTCAGTTACTCCCTGTTTTCCATGCCTGGGCAAATGACAACATACATCCCATGAGTCTTCAGGAGAGGAGGAGCAGCTTATCCAGCTCTTACCTGCATGCCTGAGCTAAGGGCAGGTGGGTTCCAGGAAGTTAAATGCTACATGAATCATCTGCCCCCTACTCAGGATGGCCATGGCTAGAAATGCTAGGGGTTTATTTCACAGTGATTTATCCGCAAAATAAAGCATGGATACATGAATGGATGGGTGAGTTTGCTTTGAATATTAAAAATGAATGAAATGGTGTTTTTTGGTTTACAGTGCTCTGTTGGAGTGGAATTCGGCTTTAACTTTTTTATATGGCAAAGTTGGATATTTTTTATATACAAGAATAATCCCACATGTATAAAATGGGATCTCTGTGTTTGACAGTTGCCATCTCTGGGGATAAGAAAAATGCTCACTTGCAGTGGGGCTGCTCCCTCATACTGCAAAGGAGTAAATGCTCGTTTAGGTCTAGGAGACAGCAAAAAGCTGTTTTACTCTGGCAGCTGATATTCTTCTCTTCTATATACTTTGCCAGTGGACTGTTCCATGGCATCATCCTGTTTGGTGCAGGGCTATGGGATCTGCATTAGAGTTGATTTCAGGGGACACAAGACCACTGAAATATAGTGAAGAGGCTGTGGGGGGTGGTCTTGCAGCCTGGAGGGAGTCTGTGGGATCAGAGATCAGGTAAGTAAACAAACGTTTAAACCTAGCAGTACAGGGGCAGCCCTACTGCAAGGGAGCAGTTTTCTTTCCCTGGAGTTCAGTTTTAAGCTATTTTTTATTTCGGGGACCATTTCACACTATTTTATTGTGGCAATGTTTACCCATGCATGATACATGATACATGTGTTGATGTAGTTCAGTACTATTAAGTTTAAATGGCATCTTGATGCACCCTGCTCATGGATGTGTGCTAACATGTGGTGCAGTTTGGCAGCCAAAATGCAACATATACCTTTTTTTTGGTTTGCTTAGTGTGCAAGGCAGCCCATTCAAATGAATGGGCTTCTTTACGGAACACACATTAACTCGCGTCAAAATACAAGTTTGCCAGTGTAAAGTGCAATCAGACCCCTACAACAAGAACACCACCGAATATGTGTAATTACACTGACGTGTCCCCTTCACCCCCTACAAGTCTTTTAGTGAGTATAAAATGAGAAGGGAGACTGGCTCAACTGTAGAGCAAGTGTAACTGCACAACTTTAAAGGTCTTTTATGGAGTATCTAATTCAATAAATATTTTGCTGCTGTTCTCATTTAACTAGGAGATCATTTTGTGGAGGAAAGCACCTGAGAAGATAAGGAAAAGAACCAATTTCCACCAACGCTATGAGCCCAGTGATCCGCAAGCATCAGCTGAGCAGCCAGAGATTTAGGAGTTTGTATAGCCCACAAGAGATGAAGGACAGAACCAGATAGAACAAGGCCAAATCTCCCATGGTTTACCTTCATCCGATACTGCTGTTCATTATACTACACTAAACATTCTGCGGGTCTGTATGTAATTCCACTTTGTACATATATAAATACCAAGTGCTTTTGCCGAAACACTGGACCTTTCTCAAACTAGCATTTTATATAACTTTTAATTTTGGGATTCTGCATTGAACATGCATCAAGCTAAAACAGTTGTCTCACTTTTTTTTTTTTTCATGCATGTTAGGCTGATGTAAATGAAAACGAGAGCCTTATTACTGTGTCTCATATCCACGTGCATCATTCATCTTGCTGGAATTCCATCCTTATTTTGTTTTGAACAGACAGGTTTTGCATCACTGTGAATCATCCCAAAATTCATAAGATTCACTTTGGAAATGAAGGCTTTATTAAACATTTTGAAGACATCACACTGTGTGTTCCTTTTATTTAATGCTTGTCTGAGTCACGTGCTACCTTTTTTTTTTTTTTTTTTTTTTTTTTTTTTTTTTTTTTATATCCCCATCTACATTTTGATTTGTATTTTTCATTGTTGATAGTGATGAAATGGGCTCACCGTATAAAATACATAGTGTCTTAAAAAGGTAATTTTAAATAACTGTATGTATAACAGCCACTGGATTTAGAGTTGCCACATTTAAAGGTGAACCTAAAGTATTCTCTACTAATACCTAATCCAGCACTATCCATATGTAGCTTGTACCTCCAGATGCGTGCAGGTCATGACCTTCCCCTGGAAAGGAATGAGTGCTGTGGCTTGACCTTTTGGCCCATTGCCATGATGGTTAGCCTCATTGTATCGTAATGAGGAGAAGGGCCAGACTTGCAGCCCATTCACCAAGAAAATAATTTAATTTTGGCTTACCCAAGTAGTTGTAGTGCTTACTGACTGGGAGCTGACTTGCAGGCACGTAGATTTGCCCAGTAAGTGTTTATGCACTGGATTAGTTCTTGGATTGATGCCTGAGCACTGGACACGCCTAGAGAGAAGCATAAAGAATCTCAGCTACCCCATGGAAGAGCTATCTGTGTATATTGGACCCATATGTATGTAAGCTTGCTTAAAGCATGGAAGCACTTATGTTGTGAGCCTTAGGTGATGTTGCTATCTGCTTTCTCTACATTTTTGTAAATGATGGCAATGCTTGTTTATACCCTCTGTGCCCAAGAAGCATCTCCATGGTGAAGTAGCACTTGTACATTATAAAGGGTCAACAAACCTAACATTCAAGTTGGAATATCAAAAGAATACATTTCAGGAGATATTTAAAGAATATAAAAACACCATTTAGGTCCTTGTAAATTTTATATTTTTAACTACAGCTGGTATACTGCCTGATGTTTTTTCATGTTACCCCTGCTTGGCAGAAATCTGACGATTGGCTTCCTTTTTTTCTTTTTTTTAATCTGTACATCTGTAAATTGTATTAATTTTGGTGTTTGAAAAGCTTTCCTGCATTTTATATGTAGGGCATATATTTACTGTACAGATCTGTTCACAGACAAGCTATTTTTTTTCTCCTAGTTTGCTGTTGCTAAACTAGAAAGGAATCTTTCTATTCCTTTCGTGATAATAAATAGCAAATCAATCCAACAATGGAAATTATAGCTTGTCGGTCCCTCTATTCTATGGGTATGGTATTACATTTCAAAGGCTTGTGCTTAGACAAGTAACTAATAACTATGGGGTTTTTTTTTTCACTGAAAAGTTTTTAGTGCAATCTTGCTTTTAAGTTTACAGTCCTATATTAAGCATTAAACAGCAGCCCTATTCTAGTGTCTGGTTGCTATGGGTTAGTGCATTTTAGCACTCTAAATATAGCCATACGTGGTACCTTTGTATATCCTGGGACATATTTGAAAAGCAGTAAATGGGACTTTCAGTCCCTGCAATTTAAAATGCTTGCGCCTACAGTGATTGTCAGAGTTTCGGCTTTATAAATACGAGTTCATGGGTCATTTTGTGCTTTCACCACTTGTAATTAAAACCGATGCACTGCATTGTACCGTGTCCTATTCAGATGCACAGGTTCGGTCCTGCTGTGACAGATGCCTTGTTTGTTAAGGAATATTAGTAGCTTTGCCAACTGATTTATTACCCACACTGGAAATATGTGGAACCTTTCAGCACTTACAATTTAACTTGTTTTACCAATTGACTTTCCTTGTCAACCTGCTTGCATTGGTAGATATCCTATTGATAAAGTGTACCTTTTGTGGAGGAAAGATAATGTGTGCACATTGTAGGATACTGAAAACATTGGAGCAGTAGGTGGTGGTGCCCATAAAAAAATTGTAATTTTCTTTTGCAGACTAAAACATTAAAACACGATTGATTGGTACAGGCAACTTTTTAAAAATTTATAAAGAACCGTGCTACTCCTGAAAACAAGTACACATATATCTGTAAAACAAGACCTGGCGCAATTCATACCAGGTTAAAGGTGCACAGGACTGGAGAAGCGGTGTTTGGCAACTGTTGCTGTAGCAAGAAATCCCTTATGAACATAGCACTCTATTTTTTTTTTATTTTAAGTTTTATACCTGGGATTCCTTGATTCCAATTTGGTTCATAACTGGCTCAATTCTCAAAAACAGAGATTAGGATTCTTCTTTAAAAAAAAAAAAAATGGGGATCCTTGTCCTAAACGTTTGTAAATTGAGCTGCTTATCCACTGCTATGTCCACAGCCTTGCTAAAATAAAGTAACTAGACTTGATGCTTTAGTTATCACTAGGACTAATTTATCAGTGTGTTCTAAATGGTGTCAGTTGTGCACAGCCACCCTTTTGATTCAAGCATTCAGAGTCTGTCAACAAAACAAAAAGAACTACATTGGTGAACAGAACAAAATTTATATATTTTTTGTTTCCAGTTTTTGTTGCTCCTAGCCATCAGAGTTGATTAAAATGGTGTAAGTGGCCCTGGAGGGTGAATCTTTTTGACATGGGCAACCAAGATTGCTATTCCTTCAGACACAAGGCCCAACATGTTTAAATGTACCATCCAATTCTAACCTCATGTACTGTTTAAAGGAAAAGTGCTGCCTAAGCAACAATCATACATATCAATTATGTTCTATTGAAACTAAGTCTGATAGTTGTTTGTTTTTCTTTTTTGTAACCAGGCATTGTCAAATATCCCCTTTTTGACTGTTTGTTTTTTTTCTTTTCTGTTCAAAATATTTTTCTTATTCATAGTATATATAAATTGCTTTACAATATTGTAAAAGTATTTTATATTTCCATGTTTTGAGGCAAAATACTCCTTAAATAAAATCTTATAAACCTAGCTGTGTTTCAGTGTATCTGTTTTTACAGCTGCAAATTTACGGTGAAAGGTTTCAAAGCTTAATGACTGTATAGTTTCCTAAAGATTCAGTACCAAGAAAATGTTAAACCAAAACTGCTTTTGATTTATGAAAAAAAAAAAAAAAAAAAAAGTTTCCCCGAAAATAAGACACTAATATTTTTTTTTTGTTAAAAAAAAAAAAAAAAAAAAAACACACTAGGTCTTATTTTCGGGGTAGGTCTTATTTTTTTAACTGTCCAGGTGTGGACGGGGTGCAGAGGTGAGCTGCAGGCAGTTGTGGATGAGGGTTACTATGGAGAGGGCCGGCTGATGACAGTTGTGAGCTGCAGTCAGGTGTTGCAGGGGTGCCTTAACTGGTGAGTTTCAGACAGGGTGCAGGGGTGAGTTGCAGAGGTGAGCTGGGGGTGGGTTGCAACTCAGCTCACCTCTGCACCCCCACAGCCGCAGCTCACCTATGCACCCTGTCTGCAACTCACCTGACTCAATTTACCTCTGCAACACCTGACTGCAGCTCACCTTTGCACATCACCCCCCTCCCCCTCCACTGCCCTCATATGGTTAGCTAGCTTTGCAAAACACAGCTGTCAGCAGCCGGCACTTCTCTATAGTAACTCCCGTTTCAGGTCCTATCTTCCCACACAGTGCACCAAGCGCACTTACCGCTCCGCCTCTTCCCCACTGGCCGGTGATCACCCCTGGGGCATCGGCTTCCATGCATTAGGCTGCAGGAGGAAATGCCCCGCCCCACCCCACCCCTAAACACACTGCATACTGCACCCGCAGATATCTGTTCCTTCCCTGTCCCACAGTGAGTACAGAGGTAGGGGGGTTCTGTGGGAGTGGATTGTGCTGTCACTTCAGCCGCGCTTCTGTGTTTATAAGAGACAGTAGATATGGGTGTGTGCAAGGCCAGTGCTGGAAGTGGCGGAATGGCGTTCTGGCTGAAAAAAAGCCCTGATCACAACTAGGTCTTATTTTAGGGGAAACGGTGTATGTATGTGTGTATATTTATATATAATAATAAAAAAAAAAATATCTGGGCTAAACCAATATTTACATTAAAGCAGCTACTGGAACAACTGTGATACCAATTGAAAGCAGCAAAATAAAATGACAGCAGCACTAAAATAGCTGTGCAAAGGCTATAAAGAATCATAAAATCACATAAATACAAGTGTATATACACAACCCAAAAGATAAGTGTATAAATCCTAAGCAATGAAAAAGGGAATAACTTTATATAATCATCACCCTGACAGTGAATAACAAAGGGTCCTGTGCAAGCAAATCAAATTCCTAGTAATAACTGAAAGTTCAAAAAGTGTCCATGATGGGTAATTCTTCATTGAGGAACAACCGCCCCATAAATCATGATATCTTCCACAACAGGATGTCCTTCGCCAAAGATAAAGACACACACAGACCTCTTACTGACTTTGATGGACCATTCTATTAACAATGCTCAAAATGCTCTCATGATTATCCTCCAATCCCTATCCACCAAAGATGGTATTTGACTCAACAACCATATGGAGAAGCCGTGAGACCATAGGGTCAAAAGAGCAATTCTCCCATGGTAAAGTATTTAAAAGGCTCAAGCTGTTTATTAAAATATATCAATAAAGAA